GTGTAGATAATGTGGAAGCCTTGGTGGATCTCCCACGACGTTCTTTTCGTTCTCTTATTTCGAGCAGCTTTGACTCAGCAGCTTTCTGTCTTTTAAACCGAGCAATCTGAAGTAACCGATACAGTTAAATAGTCAAGTAACGTTTGCAGTTACAGATCCAAAACATATTAGGCTTAATTGTTTGTCAAAACATTATGACTATGTTTGGTAAAACTAGCGGATAAGCTAGCTTATAGCTTATAAATAATTTTCGAGTTTATAGCTTATAGCTAATGACTTATTAACTTATATGATAAAAGTGTTTGGTAAACTTAGTTGCTGAAACAAAAATTTCAACGAGCTTATTTGAAAAACTAGCCAAAGAAGCTGATGAAATAAGCTCGAGCATTTTAAAAAAGCTCGTTGTACCAAACAAAGCTTATTTGAATACAAGGAGTTCATAAGCAAACCAAATAAGCTATAAGCTAGCTTATTTGGTTTACCAAACATAGCCTATAATCAGAGCTCAAATGCTGATAATGTCAATTGTGAGATTAGACTGTGAAATGCAAAATAAATTTCTCTATCTACCTTCTGAGCTCTCCTATCAGTAGATGTACCACCCGATGCTCGGGCATATGATTCTAGCTCCTCTTCTGGTACGAGTTCCATTGCCTCACAGAAAGATATAAACTCCTGCAGATATTTTTATGACCAGGTACTTCAAAAATTGTACAAATATGACAACTTTGTAAAAACATCTTGATGGGAACAAAATTGTGAATAGAAACAAAGATAAAATTCTTTAAAGACAATCTGGCATTAAGTAATACCTTCAACTTGGCTTGCGAATTTTTCAGAACTTGAATCCTATCCTCTCGAGCACTTCTCTCCGTGAGTTCGCCAAGGTAATATGGAACCTGCATAAAACACCGTGACCATATATTTACCTTGGAAAGAACAAACTACAAACGAGAAGTTGAACTCACCTCCACAGAACAGTCTTCGCCATTACACACCATATAGATATGGAGCAAATAAATAATACATCAAAGCCAAAAATGCAAAGATAGTAAGCGCATCATCAGATTTACCACATTCGAACAATTCATATATAATTCAAACTTCGCATTCTTAGATTAACCAATAAAATCAAGCTAAAGCTATTACAAACATACTGAGCTTTATCAATACATAGACAAGAGTAACTCATGATATGAAGTTGTCCCAAGGCAACAAACACAAAATTACACTATGAAACATTCATTCCTGTCCTAAGGCAACGAACACAAAATGAAAATTTTGTCATATTTTGCGCACTAAATTACAATCACATTATCTGCGTGAAAAAATTAAACCTCACTTACTTCTTCAGCAGAGATGCAAATGAAACATTGATACAAGCAACAATTTAAAAGGAAAAAAAAATTGATCGAAGGCTCTACAAAAATTCATTGCTTCGTATTCCAAACAAACCCAAAACAAAAGATCACAAAAAAAATACTCACGAGAAGATATTTGAGCTTAGCAGTGCTGATATCATCCTTCGTCTCATTCGCCGAGAACAGCCCTAGCTTTCCGATCATCTCCTCGCATCTGCTCAGCTGCTCGCAGCCTTTCGTCACTGCATCCTGCAAAACAGACAAAATGCAAACAAGAACACCATTAAAATCAAATACAAATTTCGCAGGCTTCTCCTAATCGGAAACACAGAAAACTCGACGGAAAGTAACCTGATCGACGGAGGAATCTGACGCGGCTTGGTGAATTTTCCGAGACTGCTCGAAAAGAACCGGTAGAGACATCTCCTCCATGCTTAATCCCACCATTGATTCGATTGAAACTGAGAAAATAGCTTACTGAAAATGCGTAAATTGGGCTCCAGAAAGGTGTAGATGGGGATCGGGAGACATCTGAAAGGCGCTGGTTATCATCGTGCGCCACCCGCGTATGTTAGAGTCTGGTCGTATAGTGGACTTGCCTTGTGAATCGTCTGATTCCTGAGTTGTGGTGGACCGCAGCCCATTCCTTAATGGATCCAAACAAATGTAAAAGCTGTGGTAGGAAAAAGGTTGATGGGCCGAATCCCAAGTCCAGCCTATTTTTGGAAGAAAAATGCTACATGTACATACTAAATGTACATAAAGATGTACATAACACTCACATGGAGTGGGGTCCACTTGATTTTTTAATTTTAGTGGGTCCTACTCAATATAGCATTACTCTTTTTGGAAATATGATTGTTCAAATAAAATATTCAAATATGAATCATGTATATAAAAAACAAATGAAAAAAAAAATGAAATTTAAACATTTATAATAATTATAAAGTATAAACTAGCATTCATAAATTGTGAAAATTAATATATTCGCAAATAAAAAAAAAAACTCATAAATGTGCCAAATAAAATGAACTTTGCAGGTTGCTAGAATATTTATTTTTTTCTCCCATATTTGAGCAAAGCTAGTAATAACAATTAATTTTCTCTCATATTTCTCTCCTAAATTACGATTTACAAATCACTATCTCCATTGTCTATTACTCTTTTTTTTTTCATCAAATTAGTCCATCAAAATTTTTAAATAAAAAATTATTTTAGAAATAAAATTTATCATATATTTTTTTATTAAATCAACGCCGTGTAATACACGGGTATTGTACTATATGATATAAAATCTTAAAATCAATCTCATGAGGAGAACATAATTTCATGGCCCAAAAATGTTAAATCAATGTGATGTGAGTTGATGTGAATTGAGAAATTCATATATATATATGGATCAAACTGTGACACCTCAACACATTAATGCTATCTACTGGCACATTCATTCTTGCCATGTTAATAAAGTTTGGAAAGAACAATAAACATATATAGATTCAGATAATGTGAATATGAAGCTAGTAAACCATATAATTCCTTCATCGTGTGATCATATCACTTTCAAAAATTTGTGTTCATGACTTTAAAACCAAAAAATGGTAAGAGTTACAAAATTGAATGGTTGGAAGTTTTGGGATAAGTTGAATTTTCCATATTTAATTACATAAGAGATATATATGATACGGGAGATTATACGGTCCCATTACGGAATCATTCCGTAGAATTTGTAACAGATCAACTATCTACAACGGTTATATGATGCTATAATTAACAGTTACAAATCCTGATGAAATAATTCCATAACGGGTCTGTAGCATTTTCATATATTATACAGATGTATATATACAATCACACTCAATTATTTGATCAGCCTTCAGCTTCAGTCACTAGCACAAATCTTTATTTGTTCCCTCTTTTTGTAGCATGCTTTAATCAGTCAAGGCTGTTCTAGGTATGATAATTAATATGATGATATATATATTGTGGCCTTTTTTTATGGCCACAATAACAACCTTATGTTGTAGGTTGCTATAGCTAGAATTTCTAGCCACACCTGATTTTTGATTTTATTTTAACCATTATATTACATTATGGCACGCACACACCCATACGAGTTTGTGTTGATCGAACGGTAAGTCGGTAACACATCCTATGATCATCAGGACAATAGATATGGAATATCAGTAAATTTGCATTGAAATTCTATTAATTCATAGTCGGAAAAACTCATATTTCTTGTAGTCGATCGGATAGATTTTTAAAAATTGTTGGGATTGAAATTCTATTAATTCATAGTAGGACGTCTCATAATATACAAAATTGACCAAAATCAAATTTTGACTGGGATAAACACATGTAACCTTAATTCCCACCATAAAGATAAAAGAAAATTATGAGAATGGATAATGCTTTTAGCATATATAACTTATTATATTTCATTCAAACTCCCATTGAAAACTACATTTTTGATCTACATCAATGTACACTAGCAATTAAAACATGACATTCAAATCAAAACTAGAAAAAGAGAGTAAAAACAGTACCACACATCTAATCTAATGCCCTTATTAACCAACCATTAACTTCTATATATACATACAATTTATGTCCAAACCAATATTGATCATTAATTCAAAATTGACCCATGGCTTTCCTCCCACATTGAAAAGCCATAAAAACACATCCCTAGCTTGTTGGACTAGCCGTTACCTCCCTCAACTCATTACTCGTGAAATAGTTCAATCCTAGGAGCCTCTTCATTTTCATAATTAACACCAATATATATATATATATATACACACACACATATATATAGAGAGAGATTTGTATAGACACACACACACAAAAAAAAAACAATAACCCGAACCCTAAAATAGATTTTTTTTTTTTTATTTTTTTCATGGGTGAGATAAACTCATCAACACCAAAACTCTCACTCTCTAAACTCCCATGCAAGCCAAGAGAAGCCAAACAACAACAAATGCTCACACCACCAATACAACCCCACGTGTCGGTCCCTTTCCGGTGGGAGGAGGCTCCCGGAAAGCCGAGGCCGGCCGCCACCTCGGAGCGGCGCCCGGCCGCCGCCAGGTGTCTCGACCTGCCGCCGAGGTTGGTTGTCGACGAGGCGAAATTTACGATAATGCCCTCGCCGGAGACCGTGCTCGACGGGCCGTACGTGGGCCGGTCTTTGTCCCTCGCGTGCACGTTTTCCTTCCGGAAAGTGGCGGCGGGCAGGGTGGAAGAAGGGATCGGGCAGGGGAGGTGGGGGAGTTTTCGGGAAATTGAGGGGTCGTCGGGCAGGGGTAGTTTCGTCATTTCGCACACGTTGGGGGAGATGTTCAAGAGCGAGAGGAACGTGAGGGTCACGAGGGTTAGGAGGAGGAGGAGGAGCTTCTTTAATATGGCTACCGTCAATTCTAACTTGTATGGCCATATTTCTACTATACTCTCTCTTCTTATGTAGTCTCGTGATACATTTTGTTAGCAAAAATATGTTATAGAGTGAATATTGTGACAGGTTGGACATTTGTGCGAGCTTCAAGCGTGCTGTTCCATGGAGGCGAAGAAGATGAAGTTCGGCCACAAATAAGGGTCGACCCGTTCAAGCTATCAACCCATGGTTGTCTTCTATTAGTCAGGATATATATATATATATAGCATTAATTGGCTAGTAGTGGTTCATGTGAACCCTCAAAAGTCAGATTATCTGAAATTTCAATAGTTGGACTAAATTATGATAAAATAATAACGTTCCCATCTTGGCTTTAAGTTTTGGGTTGGGTTGTTGATGTATAAACAAAATAGACATACATATATCTTACATGGGTTTCTTTAATTAATTTTATATAGGCCTGATTGAAGCATTTGATTAGGTTGGACCACAAAACCATAGGCCCAAAAATCAGTAAACCCAATAACAAAATTGTCTAATTCTGTCCCACTCCTACTCGTTAAAGAAGGAGATGCAAACTGAGTCATTAATCAAGTTCGAGCTTAACCCATTTGGTAATATTGATGAGTTGAATTATTAAAAAGTATACAAAAATGTGAGTTTTATCGAGCAACACGAGCCTCCTCATTAAGTAAGTTCAAACTCGGTTCATTTATAAATTGAACTGTGATATATGATTTGTTTCGTTTTAACAGCTCTATCTAAAAACTACTACGAATGTATTCCTGAGTGGCTCATATATACCTGAAGTGCTATATATTGAAAATTTAAAAGAAATAATTATAAAAAACAAAAATAACTATTTCATACTAAATATTTAGTATTTTTATTTTTATTACGAGATGATAAATTAATAAACTAATGGTATGATCCTCTTGGCCCGCCAGTAACGGAATAATAAACTAATTAAACCGAAAATTTGTACAAAGCAAATATTATTACCAACACTAATCATGATCACCATTTTCCAACCCTATGATGTCCTATTTATAATAAAATGATTAAATTTTTTAACAAAATATTTTAAATTTTGACTATAATTTACAGAGTTCTTGATCAAGACAAAAACTTTTTCCAAATGCCATCACCTTTAGGCAATGTTAAAAAAATTGTTTATACTTTTACTTTTCAATCCACACATAATTTTTATGGGTGAAAAATATAGCAATGCAGTTTTTAAGTTCTACAGTAAAATATTATAATTTTGGAGTTTTATCAATACAAGGCCCGAAAGATGGGTAAACTATCATTGCGGGGCCCGAAAGAATTTTTTTTCTCAATTTGGTACTTAAATGTTATAAAACTATCAAATTAAAGACCCGAAAGATGGGTAAACTATCAATACAGGGCCTGAAAGATTATTTTTCTCAATTCGGGACTTAAATGTTATAATAAAACTATCAAATTAAGTCTATAATTAAAAAAAAACTCATAACACAATTAAATCTAGAGTTTAAAAAAAATATCTAATTATTATATTTTATTTTCATATTCATTCACATTTTTAAAAATTTTGCATTCTTCCATCAATTTTTCTACTCTTTAACTCACTTTTTTCATTCAAATATTTTTATATAATTTATAACCAGTGGTACTCTTGAGTGTTTATAATATTATTATCCTCATAAATATTTGTGTTTGTTGTTAAAAAGAATAAAGCAAGTAATTATATTAAGTAAATAATTAATATGATTTTTATATTTAAATTGACTATTATACTTATTGAAATTTCATTCATATACATTGATAGTTTAAAAATGTGAATGAATATAGAAATAAAATCTAATAATTAAATATTATATATATTTTTTTTTTTTAAATTTTAAACACCAATCTTTTGTTTTTTATTTTAACTCTAAATTTAATGGTGTTATGAGTTTTGTTAATTCTATACTTAATTTGATAGTTTTATAACATTTAAGTCGTGAATTGAGAAAAAAAAATCTTTCAGGCCTCGCATTGATAGTTTATCCATCTTTCGGGTCTTTAATTTGATAATTTTATAACATTTAGGTCCCAAATTGAGAGAAAAAATCTTTCAGGTCCCGCATTGATAGTTTACCCATCTTTCGGGCCTTGTATTGATAAAACTCCAAAATTATAATATTTCGGGCCTTGATTAATAAAACTCCTATAATTTTATATAAAATGGTGTTTCACTACTAAAAAGAAGAGCAACAATAAAAATTCATTTATGGGTGGAAATAAGTGCTTTTTTTCTTCGAAGAATTTAAGGGGTTAAGTAATTGAGTATTGTTACTCCAAAAGAATTCTTTACCAACATGTATAGCAAAACTAAATAAATAGCTCCTTCATTTTTTATTTTTTATTTTGTTCTTGCGTTCACTAAAATGGAATTTCACGTTTTTTTTTTTTAATGAACTATATTTCATTTGTTAATGCTTTTCTCCCGTCTTGTTAACTGATCGAGCTCAAACTTATTTTTTTTGATACATAGAAGGAGGCCAAAAAGCCTAAGTAACTAGAACTCGTCTCGGGTAGGGCATTCCTCCGACATCGTGATCAAGCCATGCATCCAACCATTGGAGAGGTGCCGAGATCCGTTGGAAGCCCAACGAGGCCGAAGCCGCTATGGTCGCCATATAGTCTGCCGCGAAGTTAGCTTCCCTGTATACGTGTTGAATCATCGAGCTTAAACTTATTAACTAACTCATAAGGGCTTGAACCCGAGTAAACTCGACTCTACTCGATTCGATTTGGTTAAAGCTCAAAATATAATTTTGCAATCAGGCTTGCTTTTTAATGAATATAATAATCCAAAACTAAAGACAATAAATCAACTGGTCCTCGTCCTTTTCACTGTTCAAGTGGCAAAAAGGTTATCTTTTTTTTCTCAGTAAAACTAACAAATTCAACGGGTCAGTGGCGACACAGAAAGCAGAGCAATCATTAGATTTTAAAGAAGAAAGAATTCAAAGAGACTTGCAAAAGGGAGAAAAAAGGGGATGAAACTTTGCAAAAACTCTTCATATTCTCTTTACAGTTTACATAAAACAGAAAAACAAAACAGGAAAAAAAAAAAAATAATAATTATCCCATTTATAAATTTTAGTCATTTTTGTTTTTTCATCAGGGCTTTAGTCAAGATTTGGGCCAATTTGTGTTGTAGACGAAGGATAATTTATGTTCTGTAAGGTTAAGGTGAGTTATAATTGATTCTACGAGTCTTGGGTTTTTTTTTTGTTTTTTTTTTTCTAATTATTTTGCTTCTTGTTGTTTTCAGTTCATGTTGATAGACAAAAGATTGCAGCTTTTCCCGATTATTTTTCTCATCTGAATCTTTTTTCTTGCCATAGTTGTTTTATTTGTTGGGAGTGAGTTGGAAATTTAGTGTTAAAAGATTGAATCTTTATGGTAATTTATTGGATACATAGGGAAATATATTGATTGGGATAACTATGAGGTGTTGATGTAGGGAAGCGTACGAGTGGGACGATATTAATGTGATCGCAATCTCAAGAACATCTAAACACAATATCAGATCGTATTTTCATTCAATAATTCATAATTACGATGCAGAATAGGTGTGTACTGGAGAAATTTGTGAAGATTGGCTTATTCTTATGTTTTATTCCTTAAATCTTTGTTTTTTGTTGTTGGGAGGAAAAAAGAAAAGCATTATCTTGTCTTCAATTTGCAGTCTTAGTTAAGATTTACATTAATTCAGTTCCATTTGTGGTAATGGTTGTTACAGGATAAGGACTTATTAGCTACTATTTATTAGTAGCCAAAAATTGGAGAAAATGAGCTCAAAGGGCAAGATGCCATTTCCCCGTGAGCCAGCCAATTACGATGAGGTTTCTATGCAGCAAAGTATGCTTTTTTCGGATAGTTTGAAGGTATTCTTATGGTTCTTTGTTGAACTTGTGTATGTGAGTTTTGTTTCCCTTAATATGTTCATTTATTTTTGTTTTTTTTTTAATTATGTGGTACCTGATGTGCAGTTGCATTTCATTCTAAAAGCTCAATTATTAAAAATGAATTAGCGATAGAGATGGTGAAATTTTTTTATAAAATTATTAGTATGGAAGGCAGATGTTGTACTGGAATTATGGTGATTAAAGGAAATGTTTTAGTTTGATTTGGTGGTGCATAAGTGAATTGTACATATTGTTCTTACTCCTTTTTGGTTTGAAGAAAGGGAAAAGAGACAGCAAAAGAATTTCGATCGTGAAATGATAGGAAGTAATAATGAACTTATAACAAATTACCAGTCTGTTGCAAGTTCGTTTAATCTAAGCTTTGCAAGTTTACATCGGTTTTGTGAGCCTTATGTGCAACCGACTTGATTTATTTCTATATTTTTCTTTTTCTTCTGTAGGACTTGAAAAATCTAAGGAAACAGCTCTACTCGGCTGCCGAGTACTTTGAGTTGTCTTACAGTAACGATGACCAAAATCATGTGTGAGTTTCTTGTAGATTACTGATGATGTTCTACTTCACTTGTTCTTTATGAATTTTAAAATTTGCGGAAAATTATTTTTATTTCGATTCTTAATATTTTGCCGAATTTGCAGAATGGTGAACACATTGAAAGATTATGCTATTAAAGCTCTTGTTAATACGGTGGACCATTTGGGTTCTGTCACGTATAAAGTCAATGACATGTTAGATGAGAAGGTTGATGAAGTTTCGATAACCGAGTTTCGAGTGTCTTGCATCCAGCAGGTATTTATGTAATCGTGTAATTTAATCCTTATTCGTCATTAATTTTATAATTATAATCCACTGTACCGCGTACTTTTTATAGCTACTAGCAATTCTAATACTAGTTAGTTTTGTCACAAGCTTAAAATTAGGCTTTTTGTGTTTTTTATTTCCATAATCGGGTGATCGTGAAGTTCGTTTATACTGAATTCGAAATTTAAACTTTGCCACTCGAAAAGAACCCATCTGACTCGAGTTTGGCATAGTTCCAAGGAGATAAAACAATCATCAGACTATAAGTTTGTACTCAAATAACTAACTGTGAAATTTCACTTGCATGCCTAACAAAAAAAGCATGTCCGATTTCTACTAAATTTTCGATTTATTTATTTATTTAATGCTGTGATTTAGAGACTGCGGACGTGCCAAGAGTATGTCGATCGCGAAGGTCTCTCTCAGCAGTTATTGGTGATTAACACTCCACTTTACCACAAACGATACATCTTGCCAAGTATAGTTTTCGATTTTTTATTTTATTTATTTTTTCCATTAATAATACCAATACATAGAGATTCATATCATTTTTTTTTGTCTAGTTGGAGAAACCATGCATGGGGCCGTTCGTACAAAATCGAGATACCGAGGATGCAGCTTAGATGATGGAGACCAGTGGCATCAGTTTAAGAACTGTAATCCATCAAATATCGTGTTTTTTTTTTTTTTTTTTTTCTAGCTTTGAAATTTTGCATGCTTCTCTTATTGAATTAATCGCCTTTTGCAGCTATTCGAGCCACTATACGTGAAACTCCACCCCCATCTATAGTCGGGTGAGCAATGTATACAGGCCAAAACAATCACTCGACTGTTTACCTTTAATAGCTACTAGCAATTCGAATACTCGTTATTTTTATTTATTTGCAGGAAAGGACCCTTACCCTTCCCGAGATTCGCCAAAAACGGGAACTTCTCATTCTCTAACAAGGATTCAGGTCCGTTCATCTTTTCATTTCAACAAAAAACGACATACGGTCCATTTATCTTTTGGAAATTACAAAATATCCCCCTTGAAATACTTCGAAACACACCCTCGATCTTTCATCCATCGAGGGGGTCAACTGGAAACAGAAAGAAATATCGATGGCCAACTTGTAATCAGGCCAAAACATGTCATATACCATTTTTAGCTAGTTGAGGTGATTTCACTAATGGTGATGATTTTATCAGAAAAGAGAGCAACCTCACCAAACCGGGTCCCGATTGTGCGTTCTGTTTCACATTCAACTAAACTAACAACTCCAAAAAGCTCAAATTCGAGCACCCAAAATGCTTCATTTGGAAGAGAATCGGTATACAATGTCAAATTACTATATCTTTTTTTGTTTTTATGTTTTATCTTAATTTTTGAAGTTATTTTTGGTTCTGTGTTGTTTGAATATGGCAGCATGTATCTGAATCTCGAAAATCAGTTTCGATGCGTTTTCGTGTTGGGAAGGAAAGTTCAAGAGAAAACGAGCAATATCCAAACAAAAGCAAACATCTGCTCAAATCTTTACTCAGTCGACGCAAGTCGAAGAAAGATGATACTCTATATACTTATTTGGATGAATATTAGTGAATATTATTGGGGGCTTAGATTTTCTTCACCATATTTTACCACAAATGTAATGTGTAGGAAACATATTGATTGATATTGATTGGAGAATGGAACAATTACTTCTATTGAACTGTGAAGTCTGTTAACCAAAAAAAAAAAAAATATCTTTTGAAAATTTGCAAGTAGCTCCTTAAGATTGTTGAACCTATAGATGTTTGTAATTGTGGAAATGCCATTTTCTTGTGGACTGTATTTGCAAAATAGAACAGCTTTAGGACATTCTTCACAATGTTGCAGAACAATCCCTCCCTATATATTAATTCAAAACATGTTGAACCTACACGCTTCAGATGCTGACATCGCGAAAATCTATGTTTCGTGATGTTTTTATATTACACAGATTCATTTACTCAACACCCATGTTGTACATGAGTATTGATACTAGTATATGTTAAAGAGAGAATTACATATATGAATGGACATTCTTCACAATGTTGCAGAACAATATAGGTTAAAGAGAATTACATATATGAATGTACTATCGAGACTTTCAGCAAAATAATTAGTAGGAAAAATACTAAAATAGTCTAAATTAAGAGAGAATCACAGATATGAATGGATCTCTTCAATGAGTACTAAAAATAATTCGTTGAAAAACATCAATGAGTACTAAAAATAGTCTAAAATACAGAAACTGCGAATCGCAAGATTCCAAGTGAATATTTCTCCACAGGCACACTTGAAAATTCGAAATCGTCACAATTTTATCTCTTTACCAAACTCTTCAATCGTCTTTGTGGCAAGTGTAAGAACATCCACAAATGCACTGTAAGATGCACGAAGGAATCTTGCTTCAATCGCCTCAAATCGACTGTACAATAAAAAAGAAGGAAAAAGTAAGCTTCAGACATCTCATGAAGCAATTCAGAATCATTTGAGGTTACACTTTTTTTAAAAAGAAAAAAAAAAAATTGTGTGCTTAAAAATGTAGCTCTCATCAAAAGGGAATGCACTTTGTTTTTTGAGACATTCATAGAAATTACGAGACATTTTTCCCCCTCAAAATCTAGCAGGAAAACAAATATAGTGATGTAGAGCACAAAATACACGGAAAAGGAACTCACACGGAAAGCTTTCCACCGGAAACTGACATCTCCCTTTTCACCTTATCGGGTTGCAACTGTTATCCCCCCCAAAAAAAAATTATTAAATAAATAAAAATAGACAACATCAAAGTTAATTTCAAGAGCAAAAGCTGCAAGAATATATTAGCTTGCAATATTACCTCTTTATCGACGGCCAATGCAGCATAAACAATGCGGGCAATTTCTTCAGTATCATAATCTACCTCTAAGTTGCTGTTTATATAATATAACATTAAAAAGTAAAACAACACATGCAACATAAATAACATAAGAAACCCACATTCAGTAATAAAATTACATCTTGTGTGAATCAAGATACAAAATAACAACAAAAAGCTTGCAAATTTTTTCCTCCGTTTCATAAACTGCAACCTATCCACGAATACACTTATCGTGCATAAAAACTGGACATTACACAACCGAATTTCCATTTCATTTACATATAATGAACAACAGGCAGTTCTGTTAGTACTTACTCCTCACCTGAATCTTTAACTTTTAAGTTTTAACACCCATATGAAAACATAGAAATTCTACGGAGTCATCCATCACTTTATGTATTGACACGAGTCCAACGTGTATTTATTGCAGGACACGTGTTAATACACTACTTGTGGATAACTATAGATGACTTCGTAACCCGAGCCATCCAATGGCTCCATAGCAAAGTCGAAAGAAAACATGCTGAAAGAGATAAAACTGCTTCATTCTTGAACATGAACCAATAATTCAAAATACGAACACCACCAGCAACTATATCAATTGACAAATCAATTGGGTTCCCTTCAGTAAATCCCACCATTAAAGACAAATGTTTGCTCTGGCATTCAAAAATGACAAACAGGGTACAAGAATCGAAAAATAAAAAATAAAATTGCAAGATCAGTAGCACATAGGGGCAGCTAGAGAGAGAGAGAGAGAGAGAGAGAGAGAGAGAGAGTACCAACTGAAATCCCATTTGTTCGGGGCGTCAGCTGTGACGTCAGAAGCTAAAGCTTCCATCTCTGCGCAGTGCGATTTGGAAAAGCTCAGCAAGAAGAAAAGCAACTGTTCGCTGGACAAGTGAGGAGGATAAACCTTGCGCGGTGTCTAGGGCAAAGATGGACCCGGTTCGGTTCATAAATCCAAGCCGATCTAATTTCCTTTTCTTTTCTACTTTTTTTTTATTTTCTTATAAATTATTGGGAATGCCACAGTCCCGTTACGGAACCATTCCATCAAAATTTGCAACCGCTAGATCATCATGTAACCATCGTAGATAGTTGATCTAATAGTAATAATTCCAAATCCCGACAAAATGATTTCGTAATTATATTCTTCGTTCATTTTGCTTATATTTTACCCATGATCTTCATCAACATAAAAAATTAACTATTACCATTAGTTGGATTGGATCAAATAATTTTATTTATCACTCATTATTTTATTAGTAAATTATAATTCTATTATTTACGTTAAAATACATCACTTTTTTTCATTTATTAGTAAATACTCGCTGTTTATGAACATTCATACAATGGTCGACTTATTCAGTTATTCGTCTGAAATTGTTTTTTGGAGTACAAAGCATATTAGAATATTCTTCTGGTATATTACTCCATTGGCTCAGCTGCTATACATATTTGCATTATTGACCCAAAAATATTTAGTTCACCTCCTCCGGCAGCAATCCCGGTGACCCTCAAAACGGCAGCATGAGGAGTACGTATAATCCAACGGCAAAAGATCAGTGGATCACAGTGTTCTCACCGATAAGGATCGACTTTTCTGAAAATCAAGGTACATTGGCTTACATTTTTCAGTACATAACTCCACGAGATAATATATCACAGGAGTATCGGTAAATGTAAATTTATAGATCAAAATTGACGGTACATAAGAGAATATATCATAGGAGTATCAAAACTGAAGTTTAGCACAATTACAGCAACTTCAGTTGTCTTTTTTTGGAATTGCAAATAACCCCCTTCAGATTTGTCTCTGGTGCAATTTGTAATTAGATTGAAGATTATGAATAGTTTTTCACTTTTTTGTAATTAGATATTGTGAAACTTAAGCACTGAGTGGATTTACATACAAGCAGAGAAAAGGTATTACTAGTTTACTACTTTACCTGTGTTAGTTTAATTAAGAGCAGATACAACTCTAACGGGATTAAGCCTCCTCACGCCTCGTCTAAAGTGCTCGAATGCGAACACAAAAAAGCCGAATAAGTAAACTAAGAAAATATGTAGCTTCTGTACACTTTCGACAATAACGGATGAACCGACTGATTTCCATAATGATCTCCGAGTAGATTTAGACCCTGGAAAAAAGAAAGATAACCGAAATATGAAAAAAGAGTACATTTAGTAAAACTGTCTATAGGACATTTAAGCCATGATAGCAAAACTTTGTATATAAGCAAAACTCACCACTGCTTTTATTGGACAAATTTGTCCATTCTTGTAATTTCACCGCACTTTGTGATGCCCTGATCAACTCTACAAGAGCTCTATTGACCTGAGATTTTAACGAGTACGCCATGTAAGCATTAAGGATTGTATATGGGTTTAAACGCTCACTAAATAAAATTTTCCCTGTTTTCCCTTGAATTTATTTTATGTCGTGAGTCTTCATCTATATAGACATCTATTTCTTTATTCAGCTTCGCATCATCATATTTAAGAAATAATTCGTAAACGAAACACCTCAGGGGCATAATTGTCATTTAGAAAAATAGCTTTCATGTACCTCTTCTGTTCTCTCATGGCTCACAAGATGACCGCCGTTAAGCTCGACCATTCTTGCACAAGGATACAATTTCTCTGCAAGTCGTTTTGCATGGCACATTTGAGCAATGACATCATGCCTATACAAACACACACAAACACACATACAAAAGGAAAAAAAAAAATTGTCATCGTTCTTAGCAAATATAGTTCATGTGATCTCAAAAATAGGTTAGAAAAACTCTGAAACTTTTGCCAGTGAGGGCTACCTGCCATGAATTACAGATACAGGAAAACCAGCTGCACGAATAGACTCGATTTCAGTTCGTGACATTTTATGGGTCCAGCAGGCATTAACCTGACCATCAAATCCGTAACTCGATTGCATGCCAGTTGATGATATTCCTTTTACGTATTCCTGCACAATTTAACCGGTTTGTTTTATAAATTCAATTTCTAACACTCACAATATAATTAAATAATACCAACCAATCATTCTTACACATCGCATCAACTTCAATTCATTATTCATGCACTCACATAATTTTAACTGACAATCACTTAATATTATCTCTCTCTCACTTTTACATCAAATCAACTTTAATTATTTTAATATATAAAATCAATATCCCCTAACCACTAACCATACCACATTTTTTAAAAATAACTCTAGTTAACAAAAAAAAAAA